TCTGAGTCTGCCCAACTCAGGCCAGGAGTAGCGAGTGGCTCCACCTCGGTTACAACTTGAGGTGTGGCCGACCCGCACATGACCGGATCTCCGAGGAGCCCCAAGGTACAACTTGCGGACCCCTTGGGGTCCTGGGACCCCAGTTTGAGAACCTTTGCTTTACAGAACAAATTCCTTGGTCACAAACTTCATCTGCTGTGTTGTCATTGACAGAATCTCCAGTACAATGGTTTGTGCACACATTCTCAAGCTAACATCTGCACAAAGATGTGCTTCAAAGACAGACATGTCTAGGGCAGGCAGAGCCATACCAATCAACTCTGTGATGTCGAGTTCCACCTTGTTTATATTTTTAAAAAAGCTGCTCACCCTTTTAAATATAAATATTAGTAATATTTCTGCTGTCATTCACCAGTCTGTATTAATCTTTCTGGTTAAACCAAGGCCAAACTACAGGAGTTGCCCATCTGAGGGGCATGTGTAGTCTAAAAGACATTTAACCATGAAATGTTCAGCCCTTAAACATTTGTACATAGAATTTAGAATTCCTTTCATTTTATTTATCTGGAGAAGTTTAAGTTAAAAATTCAAGACACTTTAAATACTTTTCAGTAAGTTACATGCCTTGTACAAATCTGGTTCAAATATAGAACTTTCTTTACTAGATTGTTAACTAATTATTTGCAAGTTAATATTGCCTTATCGGGCATTGATTTTTAAAAAAGTGATCCTGTAAAACTGCGACGTTAATTGTGATGCAGTTGAAAAGTTGTGTGCTGCTAACATTTGTGCTGATGCACCTAAGAAAAACTGTTAGAGGCACCGGTGCAACCAGTTCAAAGAGTTAGTCTAGAGCCCTGAATATTTAAACCATTGGATGTGAGAAGATTGAAGCAAACAATTTAGTTAAAGAAAACCATTTTAATTTGTTTTTATTTTATTTTTAGAATTATTTCACAGGATGTCTTCACTCCATTTATCTTTGTTAATCAGGAGTATACGTGTTGATTGACTCAGGAAATTCATGTCCGCCCTACTAATATTTGTGCTTACGAGCCACTACTTGATCCAGTGATTACTTTCATTAAATTCTATCTACTGATTCTTGAGTTATTTTGCTGAATCATCAAACAAACACATACACTCACCGGCCACTTTATTAGGTACACC